CTATTGAGAGTCAATAAAGTTTAAATATTTTGATTTCCTTTCGAATTGCCACAAATATGCAAAAATATGCACATGGTTTATTTGGTATTCCAAATAGCAACAATATAGTTTTAATTTTAAGTTAGCAATATCCTACAGCCAGAGATTTCGCATTGAAGATAGGAATAACGATACAGTAAATATGCAAAAATATGCATATGGATGGGTAACGTTGCGATACTAATTATATCAAATGGTGTGTTTGATTTTAAATATGCACAAATTCGCCTTTAAATACATCCAGAAAAATTTATGCACATGGCGTTCATCTTATGATGTTTCAGTTAATTTTATATGATAGATAACCTCCAACGTAAGTACAACTCTTTCGATGAAGATTTAACTGTTAAGTAATATTTAAAGTTTGTAAAAGGTACTTCGTTACAAAATTGAGACTGAAATGCCCAATCGTACTTTTTGAAAATTTGGGGATAAATATAAAACTACAGTTTTAGGTCGTAAACTGTCATACACTGGAGTTTTTTTAGGGGACGATAACCCAAGACTGGTCCACTAGTCGAAGTAGGTGTACATTTCACTCGAAATAGTCGTCGAAGTACCTTTCAAAGTAGTCGAAGTAGTACGGAAAAAAATGAATTTCGACGGTGATCGCGCATGCGCACAGCACATTACTTTTTGTCCGCACCGGTGCAATAGAACTGCGAGAATGGAGTAGAAAGTAGTCAAAGATCTTCTGAGACTAGTCGAGGTACTTGCAGAATTTGTCGAAGTACTCGAAGTACCTTCATGGTACTCTCATGAAAGGCCTCAATGAAAGGAATTATTTTCTACCAATCATAGTTCTCCTCGAGGTCCTTCTCCTCCTCGACCCCTTATCGTGATCGGATATGATTCATTGTATCTTAAGATCGGATTTTCGGAGGAGGGTACTCCCAAAGGGCGATCGGGGCGTCTGGAAGAAATATATGCATTGGTGATCTCAAAAGTTTAAGAGCGAATATCTCGAAAATGTTGGAGGAAGGTATCTACAAAGAGAAAAGAAAATGCAATATTTCGGAGACCAAGTAGTAAACATTGATCAATATACTAAATATAGCAAATATAACCCAACCATTTACTAAGCTATTTCGGTTTAAAAAAAATCAAAGTTCTCATGTAAGATCGAAGGGGCTTCGGTGCATTTTTGTGTGGGAGATCAGTATTTTATTAGCTAATTTTAACTCCACTATCAATAAGATCTTGTCGGGGCAACCACATTCCCTTCGTCGGTACCCGCTTCAGACGTCTACTCGCAATTCCGTCACGCAGTAGTTGTGCGCGTTCACAAAATCTTTCCGACAGCACCAATTTGAAAACAATCGGACCAAAACTGTAGAAGATAGGAAAAAACTGAAAAATCACTACGTTAGTATAACACACTCGGCGATGGCGACCAGATGTCGGCGACCCCATCTCACTGCTTGTGCACGCAGTTAATCAGTCAGGACCGTATTCATGAAACTCGGAATGAAATAAAATCCGTTAACGGGCTCCTGTTACAAGGCATCATGAAAGGTTGGTCATTTTTTCGATAAAATACTTTTTGAGTCATTCACGAAAAACCGTCTGAAAACGTGGGTCGTGGGCCAGTTATTTAGCAGAAAAACTGAAACTTTTCACCTCGCTTTTCACGAATATGTCAAAAAGTATTTTGAGAAAAAACTTATTGAACAAAAGTTGCTTATAATTAAGTCATCTATTCATTCTCATACTTATTTTCAATGAAACATTTTTCATACTAGGGTGAAAGCAACCTCCGGTATGGCATTCACTTTGAAGGTCAGCAGAACCCTCGGCAGAACCTAAATCCAAATATTAATTTAGGCAAAATTACACGAGAAAACGGTCATTGACTGAACTATTAATAAATATGTCTCGTCCAGACATTGTGCTGTGACGATCCTTCTAGGATCTAGAACATTATCGAGGCGCCATCAAGTCGATAAAGGATTATTACTTACTCGAGGATAGAGAATAAAAGCGCATGAGATTCATTCTTTCTGTGTTGACGTTCGCGATTTACCGAGAAAGTTTTTGTTTGCTATACAAGCAAATTGAAATGTGCTTAGTTTCAGTTTTAATATCAATATCAAAGTGATAAATAGTAAAATCCGCGCTCGGGTGACTACAAAGTAAGTAAATCCGATGCAACTGAATACCGAACGATCCTCGAGATCTGTAACTTTTTTACTTACTTTTACTTTACTTTACCCGTTAGTAGCCCTGTATGTTTTTTCGCAGAGTCATCAGGAAAACGGAAATGGCATACTATAGTAAATTCTCTCAACAAAAATAGAACACGCCGGGAGAGAATATTAAAAAAAGATTCAAAAAATTTTAAAAAAAGGTTCAAATGATGAACAAAAATGCAAACATTTTCTAAAAAGATTTAAAAATGTTTTTAATTTTTTTTGAATTTTTTCAATGTAATACTTTTGAAGAGAAGCTACCTTTTTAGGTCCGATAACTTTTTTACCTGACCCCGTATAATGGAAACGGTAGATCATTATATGAACTTTTAAATCACTATTTTCCCGTGTGTCTTAACTAATAAAATACAGTCTTTCTGAAATTGACAATTTTTTTAATTTCCCCCTGTATCTCTTAAGCAAACTAATATTTTCAAATTTTGATTTTGCTACTATAAGTTTGACACAAAAGCGCAAACATCGGGATGTCTCATAGCTGCTGGAACCAGGCACCACACCTTGCGGGGGGGGGGGGGGGAGTATTTACTTTCGTACGGGGACAGAATTACTTACGACGAAATCTTGCGCACAAAATTAAAATTCTCGGCATAAAGGATTGATTCACTTCTAGAAATAGCTAGCCATTCTGAGGAGTAGGGGGGGGGGGGGACATATTATATTACACAACTTCTCTTTTGTATTTTGGACCATGACATTAAGTTCCTAAATAAAAATTGTTCATTCATTTGCATATTTATTGCTGCCTCGTCATTGCTACGTTCATAAAAAAATGCAGAATCTATTGCTGACTGGTTCTTGCTAACTTTACATGCGCCAGATAGTACTGCAGAATATTAGCTCGAGTCCTTCAGACGATCGACAAAAACCGTAAACGCACACAATAGCCCAATGTGGCCAGAAGCTTATGCGGGTTGTGCGTAAGAAATTGTGAGGCGGGAATATTTCCAAGCGGATTTTGCAATATTTCCAGAACTATTCGCATTGCAAAGAACGAATATTCGGACACCGGAAATTTAAGTGAATATTTCCAATAAATTGTCAGGAACTTAACAAAAACATTTGTCCGAAATTTCCACTTTATGCTGGTTTTTACAACACTATCGATTCAAAAAGATTAAACAAATAAAATTTGAAAAAAATTAACACTATCTGTTTTTAAATTTTTTGTATTTTTTGAATTATTGGAATCTTTTTTTTAATTTTTTGAATCAAATTAATCTGATCCTGAACCCTGGCGTGTTACTTATATTTTTGAGAAGATAATTTCATATCTTTTTACATTACAATATTAGTGTTTCATTTCAAAAAAATTAGGTTAGGTAGGATAACCTGATTTTTTACCTGACCCCGTCAGTTTTAAAATGGCGCCATTATTCAACGATCATTATAAAGAAACATTCCTCTGTATCCTCGTCTGTATCCCTTTTCAATAAAAACTATTCTATTCTATTCTCTGCTATTCTGAAATTCGTAATTTTTTGATTATACCCCGTATCTCTTAAGCGCGTGAATGTTTCCAAATTTTGATTGTACCATTCTAAGTTCGTCCCGCCTACATTTCTTTTTTGATGGCACTAAGGATTAAGGAGATACCTTCGGAGATACTTACCCTAGACAATTGGACCATCCATCTGTACATTCAATGAAATCAACTCGCTTCGGTCAAAACGATCCTCGTATACTAATATGTAATATTTGTTGGTTACGCGTTTATTGCGGGTAATAAAATATTAATTTTTATGATTAAATGCGTTTTTGTACACGATTCGATTATCTATGGCAAGCAATTGGGTTAACTAACTGTGACCATGTTCCGATAAAAGTAATACCGTAGAAGCCAATGAAACGTTCTACATTCGAAGGAATTGTTTTTTGTGCAGAGTGCAACGGTGAGTCATCGGTGGATCGCGATTTTTATTGTCTGGGTCCTCCAAACTTATTGCCGAAACTTGTACAGTTTCGAACCGTATTCGCCTATTTCAATTGTGTGTAATGAAACATTCAACATTTTTGTCTCGTAATGAAATGCTGATATAAGACACGTGGGTGGCGGTGTATCGCAAGAACGCGCGCTGACCCGGTGTTTTTCTTAAGAAAATCTGCCAACTTTGCTTTAGGTTATTGCTTAGTTGGATACAAAATTACAGGCTGTACATTACAGATCATTTGGGACTTTTTCTAATTACAAAAAATGTCTCGGATCCATATACGTGAGATAAATCATCGAAATCCCCTAATTAAACATTCCACTGCACGGCACTGTTAAACAGCGGGAGCTATTTTTAATTATGAAACGGCTAACATCATCGCTTTCTTCAAGCAATTAATTTCAAACAAATGAATCAAAGGAAAGTCCAGAAACTTATGCCTTCAGAAAAACGGCAGTAAAATTGATTTCTCTGGAAGCGCAAAGCTTAATCGGTGTTTCTCTCAGTTTTCAGCTAAGTAGTGATAAAGCGCCGTAAGTGGAAAATTTACACGGAACCGTTTTTTTTTAAATTGAGACTGTCGGTCCACCAACGCACGACAACTCAAGGTCAGATGTAAAAATAGCAACACGGCGAGCGACAAAATCACCACCACCACCCCTCGTCGTTATCAAAAAAACCGATTCAGCGGTCTGCTTGACGTAACGCGCGAGGAGTACAATTTCCGAAAGGTAATCTAAAGTTCAAAAGCCATACTTTCTTGCACACTGCAGCGGTCGGCACGCCCCAAATTGCTCGCAAAGATCGCAGTCGGCTAACTTACCTTAATTATTAATTCGATTTCAGGTACGTCGTCGCCGTTCTGATGTCCGTTTTCGGTTACTTCGTCCGACATTTTTCACACAAAAAAATCACTTGGAAGACACTGGCGTTACGTTTGATTACTCGCTATCACGTTACTAAATTGTTGACTGGTCGCGGTCGGCGGTTTGTGAAACGACACTGCAAACAACGCCACTTTAGATTCCAACCACGAAATGTAGGTTCGCTACAGTTTGGCGAATAAAAAGCATGAACCTAGATTTGTTTCGTACTAGCGCCACCTGGTGTGAAAAGGAAAAATGTTTGAATCGGTCACGAGATCGTAACAGTTCACTTGGAATTTATATGCTTCTTGTATTGGTGTTTAGATTCACATAACTTAATTGATCTTGATGTGAAATTGTATACCGGGTATTTTATAATTAACTAATATCGTGACGTACTTACAAGTTTAATGACAAAAAAAAGTTAGCTACATTCTTATGTGTCATAGGGTAGGCAACACACGATGCACACCGCTACAACGCAAACCTTTGAGACACTTTACTGACTACTCCCCAAAAATGAGAGCAGGGTCGGCTCAAGGTAAAAGTTACATGTAAGCAAGCACTCAAATTTGCTCCTCTGCCCGCCTCGCTATAGCCTGAATAATGGGAATTTTTGGCAAACATGTTTTTAAAAATACAGGGTGTTAATTAATGTCATGCAGGTATTTCAGGGGGTGATGGCACTCGTCAAAATAAGAAAAAAATGCAAATATGTGCGTGGTCTAAACTCTAAAAGGCTTCATTTTCGTTATACATGGTGATAAAGTTTAAATTTTTTTCTCGTATTTTGCGCTTTCTATCTTATGTTCTGTGATAATTGTTTCAAATTTGATACATCAATTATTTTTTAGAATCTCTACAAGTATCAAAACAATTGGTCGCGGTATACAGGGTGTTACATTTTCTTTGCCACCCTGTATATCGAAAACGACGCATATGTTTGCATTTTTTTTTCTTATTTTGACGAGTACTATCACCCCCTGAAATATCTGCATGACATTAATTAACAGCTTGTATAGAGGTTCATATCCCGCTAATTCCAATTGTTTCGGAGTGGAACATTAGGTTATTCTGTAGGTTTAAAATTGTGTTCTCACATTTTTTTGAAAAACAAAGTTATACAAAAATGCTACCGGAGGGATAACGCGTCTGCTATTTACGAATACCTATGCCTCTCGTGTACGGATTTTTACGTCCTTTTACGGGTTATATCGCGTACGCCTAAATCCGACCCTGAATGAGAGCGGTATTATACTTAGGTGAAGGTAGCCAGTACGCACCAGTAGTACATCAGTACTATGTAGTACCGTCTGGTAGTGGCTGACGGTTGTTGGAAGCTAGCCGATACACTGGATACCTCCACAATAGCACAGATATACGTTCTTTACGTACATCTGTGACAATAGTATTTATAGTACTTCTTGGGTACTGACTGTATACACAATCCGTTTTTTTATACCTTTAAGGATTGCCTTGTACTGGCTACTGTCCAAATGCCTCTAGCTATAGCCAGTACACGAGAAATTGATAACCAGGATATAAACAAACATTAGTACCTACTGCCGTCCACATCTCGCTAGACAGTACAGGGGATATTGATCAAGACTATGTACGGATGGGTCCTACGTTGTGTATACTGACGGTTCTTTTATGTGTTGGAGGTATAACACAATCTGAAGGAAATTCAGAATTTTATGCGTAAGTAAAGACAAGAACATAGAAAATATATTACGCACACAACCGAGCGATACCAGGGAAACCTTCTTCGGGACAAAAACCGCGGGATAGCTCACACAAATACATGAAATAAACCAATTACGTTAACAAAATGCAAGAGAAAATACACAAATAAAACATCTCAAATTGTAGGAATAAAACAAATTTTTTAAAAATAAAACACACGAGACCTCATAAATGTAACGCAAAAACACATGTACGATCAATTGATATCAAACAACTCGTAAAATGACAAATTGCATTTACCTAAGTATTCAAATTATAGTCCATTATCACCCAAGTAAATTAGATAAATAGGAAAAAATGTTAATAGGAGGGCCTTCTTTTTCATATAGCACCATCCGGCAGCTGGCCACAAGTAAGAAAGCAAAATTATACAGCGAATCATCGTGTCAGGTTCCCCCTTCGCGGAATATAATTAAACGACACATACAAAGAAACGTCAAATTAGAAGACCGGCATGAGAAAAAAATCAACAGATACAGCGAAGAATCGGACTGAATTTGGTATTTATTGCTTTGTGGAATAGTTAAATCGGATCATGCAGAGCAACAACACACCCGATAATAAACTGCCGCCTGAACACATAAACAAATACTTAATAAAACAAGATAAAAGCATAATCACGTGCACAGTATAACAAACAAACATAATACAGTAGCGGTACTTAAACCGAAACTTGCAGTAGGTGCGGCACGGTTCAATATCAGTATTTTATGCAAAATGTAAATAACAAATTCTGACATGAAATTCAATGGTTGATTGTTAGTACAAAGAATAAAATTATTACTACCTATAAATACACTTTTCAACTTTCAACAAACAAAATAAACGCTAGACCCGCCATTATTCCAGCTCGGCTCGGATAACTTCTTCGTTTTTTCCCGATACTGCTATTCTTTCAGTTGTGAATGTATTGCCTAACCTTAGGGGTACGTTACCACAAGCCCAAATTTGTTGTTGATGGAGAAGAAATATCATATAAACTATATTCCGAAACTCCACCCCGTGGGTGTCACAGTAACCCCCCTTAGGAATTTTTCACTAGTCATCAATTCGGCGTCGATACTGCAACTGCCTCTAAACAATTTCAATGTGTATATTAGTCAATTTTAATGTAACATCAATGATTTTAATGCCATATCTCCTTTCAAATAGGCAAATGCGCTTTAAACAATTGTGAGCCGGGCTAAAAAGTCAAGCTCCTTTACTTTTCCATTAAATATGCAATGATCACCGGATTTCCCAGTCGACACTGAAAACTTTGACTTACGTATACTTAGAATTGGCAACTCCGGGGAACAACGCGAACAATTACTTATAGCAGTGCAATATCTAACTTTCGAGTTTCGGTTAAACTTACGTTTAGGTTCACCATCAAATGCAAAAAGATCCCCGCTAAATTAAACGTTTACTTTATATAAAATTCGGCTATACCATGGAGGGAACGTAGCAAATTCCAACCCCACCCGACACGGCATATTCTGTTATCTACATCCAAATACAACTTCTTCTTCTAATTACGTTCTTCCAAGACGGCTTAAAAATACGGAACCGATGGCAAAATTTATGTTTTTCATGAGCGCACCTAACGCATCTACTCTAAACTTGATCGGAGGCTGTTACTCTAACCCATTCAACTAATTACGATTAATTATACTTATCCAAATAGTCGGAATAAAATTGCAAATTCGGCAGCCCAGAAATGCCCTGCTGTTCCTTGGAATGTGAGGTTAAGCGACGGGGTCTACTGTTACGTTGATATTTTCGTAAACTGCACGACCTTGCGCGTTTAATGCTGAAACGTAATTCTCTCTTCTTCCCTGGCAAGGTATCTTTTACCGGCTATAAAAAAAACAATTTAAATATTCCTATAGGAACGGTTGTAAAACGAATAAATTCCATACGAAACTTACGTGCGCTCTTGGCGGTAAGATAAACAATTAAACAAAATGATCACAAACCCTTGTCTCCTAGAGCAAAAAGTAAAGTAAGAAACCACAGTTCCTTAGTAACGAAGTGCCCGCGTATATACCAACTGTTCATCTACAGAGTTATTACTAAAACGACGGAAAACAGGTGCTTCGTTACACTGCTCGCCTGAAATTCTGGAGCGTTATGTGCATAGACAATGGATCGTTAGGTTAGGTTAGCTGTATTAGTTATGTGGCTCCAGTCAGAAAACGCAGAGTTCATACCAACGCCGAATGATCCGAAGGCGAGATGGACATACTTAAATCAACTATCAGCTTTGATAGTTTCCGCAACCGTAGTTTCCTACTTTGATCTAATCTCTGTAGCCGTCCAGAAAAGGAATCAACGTAATATTTGCGATCCGCTTGTAGTATCTCAAAGCCGACGAATTTTTAGCCACGCTTTGTGGTCGTTATTGAACCTACTATTCTTATGAAGCAGTACATATGATATTTTACCCTAGAAGATCCCCGTTAGGTATAAATGCATTTCAGTCCAAACTTGTAAGGAGACATTCTGTTTGATTGGAGAATCATCGGCGGCCTGGCCAATCAAAATGCGTCTTTCGCCTTGACCGACACGAAAACCGATAGCACAGATTTTAATCTGTGCCGATCAACGAAGCTAGTCTGCCTATTTCTGACGCTACGTTTCTTACCTGCAAGGTTTGTTTCTACTTGATATCATATTAAACGCTCTATAAATATAAGTGAAATGATCACAACTTGTTTTAGACGATATGACACGCCCTCTTATGGTCGCCTTCGTTGAAGAGAAGCTGCTGATTCGAATAAGAGGCGACACGTTGGGTATGCCGCGCTCTCTTCCAAAGCGTTATTGGAAATGCGTATGGGAAAAATGGTGTTACTATGACCTCTTAAATGTCGACAAACCTTTGTCGCTCTAATACCACATGCAGGGTTGTGAGGCGGATTGGGAGAGAGTTGACGATAATGCCCTCCCTGCGTTAATACTTAAATAGAAACTTATTAAAAGTTCAAAGAATCTTAAATATATGGCTCTCCCGATTATCCCTGTTAAAAACTCAATATTTGCATTTCAAAGAGAGATTTATTGTCACTGTTCAAAATTTACAGATTGATGGCACCTCCATTTTCCTCGTTTTCCTCCCTGTACATTTCTAGTAGGTAGTCAATAATGTCGCATGGTGGCTGGTTGTCGCTCCCTAGAGAGTAGTCAGAGGAGCAATCTCTCACGTCGGTCACGTCCGGGTGCAAGCCGCTGATAGGATCCCTTGTTGCAAGGAAGTCTTTCAGGTACGACAAATCTTTGGGGCCGAAGGTGGGGCGTAAGTCAAGCTCGCCAGATTTCACAATATCGATTTTCTTGAGCGGTTCTTCGTAGAGTGTGGGAATGTTTTGTAAGATGCGAAGAACGTGATCACCATTTATCAGTTGACTGAGTGCGGGTGACTAAATTAGAGTAGGTACATTAGAAAGGTGAAGGTTACCCGAAGGCCACGTATTTGTAATCCATCCATGGTGTTGGTTCTAAGGTGACGAAGAACTGAGTACAGTTGTCAATGTGCTTTCCATTGTTGCACATGGATAGAACTCCTCGTTTGTTGTGAGAAATGCTGTAGTTTTCGCATGGTACCTTGTATTGTTCTAAGCACCAGCCTCCGCACTGTATCCAACTCGGCCATACTATTCTGAAAACGCACCAAAAATACCCACACCCTGCAGATTGCTATTACCGTTGAATACATGTACCTGAGTAACCACCAACTTTCTTCGCGCACGTTTTAAGAAAAATTTTTGATATTGTCGGCACGGCAGTCGCGTACAGCTAAAATTTGCTTATGTGATTTTAGCAAAAATTATACTCTACCAAACCTCGAAGAGCAAAGTACCAATAATCTGCTGATCCACGGCAATGGTAAAATAAACAAAAGTATTCTGAAAGTACAGTATGTAAAAGCGTTGTATGGAAGCGCAACGCCTTACTCCATTCACTTTTTGTTGCTCGATGTAATTGATAAATTGCTGGGCGCCAATGCACTCAAATTCTTCAAAAATAGTAAATCTGTACTTAGATCCAACGAACTCCAACAAATCCTCATCGTCCCCTAGTAGTTCTTCATTTTTGAAAATAACAACCTGCTTCTTTAACGTCCAAAGTTTTTCCCCTCCAATTTCCCTCCTTATCTAGGTGAACATTTGATCCACGATGTGAAATCGTATACGAACCTTTAATATGAACAGGTTCCAGTCCAGGTCCAACATGGAGACGATGTTTGGTTTGCAGTACTCTTGCGGCAATCGCGCGCGAAGTCTCTCAATATAAGTTTTTGCTAATTGAAATTCTCTAGAAGTTATTAATCCGTACACATTGAAGGAAATTTTCAATTCGTGTTTGCTCGACATTTCATTAAATTGATTAACGTCCTTGATTAGACGTTGATAATACTCTCTGAAGCATGCAACCTTGATTTAATCTCAATTTTTGTTTAGCAACTTTTACAACTTTCACAGTTTGGAGAGCCTGACTCTAGATCAGCTCCGTAAAGCAATTTTGTTGGGAAAATTTTGGAGTTCAAAATTTGGGCGGTCAACATTGCGCGTACTAACGTACTTAACGTGCTGGTGCAAGCACATCCTCTCTCTTTCTGAACGGATCAAAACATTGATAGATACCTTTGTGTAGATGGGAAGATGGCGACATGATTTGTAAGTGAGCACGTTCGAAAATACAGCTGATGAAAATTTGGTTTTTATGGAGGCGTCCGTTTGGTTTGGTTTGCGGAAAATAATTGGAAGTTTGCATTAATGAATGTTATTCGTGTTCATCTACTTTCATTTGACTAATTCGATTGTTAAAAAGACGAGTCCCTTTCCGATATTGCCGTTGTTTGGTTCGTTGTGATATCTTGGGGTTTATTTTATCGAAAATACTTGGGACGGAAAAACCGTTGGGAGTTAGTGGAACGTTTCCGTAGTCGCAATGAACTATAATCTTGGGGTCATCTATGTATGTGTAGCTACATTTGGGGAAGAGCCATAACTATTACACGCTATCAATAGCACCGTGTGGGAAGAATTCCATTTTACCGAAGGGAGCGATCCGATAATAATTAATAGCGGAACCTAGAGCGGAACCGTCGTGAGTCGTGGAGTTGGTGTCGACCAACTTTATTTGGTTACCATTGGAGTTGGCAGGAAGGTGTCTCAGGGAGATGCGCGAGGACTCCCAGAGCTAACTTTTGTATTTAACTTCTGCGATAATCCACCCTTATGGTTAGGCAACACACCTTTTCATCTGAAACAAAAATATGATATGCTCTTATATAACCAATCGACGGTTTTGCGCAGATGCCGAATACTAGGGGATTTTCGTAACGAAGCTAGGGGAGAAAGAAGATGGAGAAGATGCCGACGGAAGGCATCACGCGTTCCCGGTTTTTTTTATTTTTGATTATTTTGGTGGTGGTGTTTTGAAGGTGTAATTACCAGTAATTACAGGTAGTCACCATTTTATTCTTTCCTTGTACTAGCTATTTAATCATTGAATTTCTTGCCACAATTTGATATTGTTTACATTTTGCTGATTTAGCATCAACTACGATATCTGAATCATGGCGTACTCCATGCCTTTGTTTTGAGTACCGTTAGATGAATTATGTTTGTTTGTTATACTGTACAGATGATTATTCAATTATTTTTTTTAATTAAGTATTTATTTCTGTATTCACGAGGAGTTGATTATCAGTACGAAGTTGCTCTGTCCGATTGATCCGTAACTATTTCGTGAGGGAAGTACCTAATACAGTTTGACTGTTCGAAGTATCCTTTACTTTCTGATTCGTGGCGCGCTGCATTTCTTGTGCGTTAGCTATACGAAGAGGGGCTCTCTTATTTGATGTTTCGATGTTTGTATGTGCGAGTGGGTCATTCTGTATCCGTGAAGTAGGTACCTAATACAGTTCGACCGTTTGCTGTATCTGTTACCTGCTCGTCTCATGCAGGCTGCATTTCTGTGTCTTGCAATATGAGAAGGGGACCTCTTATTAGCATTCCCACTATTTAAAATATGTTCTGCTTGAGCGATAATCGATTTTCACATGAATCCTTGCTATTGGCCTATGGCATTCTCACATGTACTTTTCGTGTTAAATTAAATTATGTTAACGGAAGGCTGGAGTAGAACCACACCATTTTGATGTTTCCTATGTACATGCAATTTATTATTTTACGAGTGGTGTTATCTCAATTGATGGTACAGGTATTTTAATGTGTTTTTGTACTGATTTGATTTATCATGTTTTCCACTTCATTTATGATGTCTTGTGCATTTTGTTTTTATGAACTTGTTTAATTGCATTTGATTTGATTATCTGATTTTTATCATACAATTTGAGATGTTTTATTTGTGTATTTTCTCTTGTATTTTATTGCTGTAGGTGATTTATTTCATGTATTTGTGTGGCCTATGCCGGGGTTTTAGTCCCGTAGAAGGTTTCTCTGGCATGGTCTTGTGCCACCCATATCGAGCCGACTGCCATCCAAATTCAAAAGTGCCGCGAAACTACCATCGTTTCGATTGAAAGGTAGGTGGCTCTGCTTGTAGTTTTTTTGCTTCGACCATTTAAAGCTGGACTGCTAGCGTCGTATAATATTTAATATAAAAATTGAAGCCAACATCTGCAGCGCCATCACTGGGTACCTATGACTAAAATGAGAACTAAATCTGAGGCGCTAAATATGAATTTTGCAAGGACAAGTATATCCACACAAAATATTTATACGATAACTGTTTAACTGTATACTTGATTAATTAATTTATATAATAAATAAATTTGAAGTAGATATAATTTTTGGATAATGATACCAATAGATCGTGGAATAAGCCCTGTGATGGCGCTGTAGATGTTGGCTTCATTAATTTGACTGTGCTAGCAATCCAGTTATTTTTTCATCCAAGTTTTTTTTCCAGAGTTGCCAACGGTAAGTACAGGGTAAGTCAACGTTTACAGTGTCGGCTTGATAGACCCCTATACTCTGTTTTTTAACTAGGAAGACAGATTTAAAAACCTGATTTACACTGAAAATGTCACTAGAATCTAGTAACAAAAATAATAGACTCATTTTATACACATATGTATTGTGGGTTGCGTGATGTGATTTTCTTTCACATTTGGATAGATTTCATTATTTATGGTTTTGGGTTATTACTTGGTAGGAACTCCTTTATATTATGCATACATCATACTTTTAAAAGCGAATTATAATAAATAGGTAATACATTGATAATAGGTAATCATCCTGCATACATTTTTTGGCCTTTGAAACATTATTTTGAATTGTATTTTTAAATGTTTTATCAGTTGTAATACTACACAATCCACATTATAATTTACAACAAATGTTAAGTTATTGAACAAATTCAGAACAATGGAATTATACTCATATTATTAGACAGCACAGTTCACTGCTTTATGTATAAGAGATTTAGTCACTGTCTTCCGAGAGTTCACTAGAACTGTCACTGTTCTTCGATCCCAGTGAAATAATTAAGGGTTCTATAAGTGTATCCATTAGGCCATCCACATTTTATTTTCTTCCTTAATAACGTGTTGCACGCAATTCCGCCAATCGTCAGAGCTCACATTTGCAACAGCGTTATGACCACCGGAACGTTTCGAAGGGGTAACAATCCCAGTACTTCGATATTCTTTAATTATCCGGTATACTGTAGATCGTGCAACTCCTAATATGTGTCATACTTTAACAACCAAATATATGCCTACATCATTATTTACTTTACCTGTGGTAGATGCAACCTTCAACACAAGGGTAGCAAAATTCATATCCGGAATATCAGACAAGATTTGTTTATAATAAACTGCTTCTCGAAGACTGATAAAATGACCCAAGTTTAAGCGATTACGTTTTTTCAAAGGAGACAAGCTTGCTTTACTGGTACTTGGAGTTGAATCCATCACTAATACCAGTATACTTAGGACGCGAAATATCAACTTTAGTTCTTAAAAGAACTGTTTTTTTTTTGTTAAAATTTATGCAAATGGACTCAGAACACAGAAAAACTCAAAAATAAGTACAACAGTTACGGACGAGAATCGCGATTAAATTTGACAGTTAAATCATGTCAATAGCAATTTTACCTGGGTGTAAAACGGGCGCAGCGGGAGCCAATAGAAACTAAGGATTTTTGCGGGAACTTTTAAATCCGTCTTCCTAGTTAAAAAACAGAGTATAGGAACATTACACTTCCTTACCGGGGTTTGTTTATGGAAAACATCGCGGTGACTTACGGATTCCCTTTAGTTCGGTGTAGTCCCCGTTGTTGACGACTAGTAGAAGTCGTTTCGTTTACACAATACACTTAAGAGCATTGTTAGTAATCTTGGAAAATTTGTAGCTATCAATTGATGCATCAAGAGATCAAGTAGTGTTATTTACATATATTGCTCACCAGGAGAGAATGCCGGTCACAGAACACCCGATTCCGGTCTACAATCGTATGTTTTTCATTAAACCGTACGATTGTAGGCGAGGTGCCATAATTGGTTCGAGTTATCAGTATTATTGTGTAAGCACTTTTTACCTTCCCACTAAATTATTCTGTCAGTATGGTGACTAAGTATCTTGGTGAAGAACCTAGATCCATTCTACACCATGCAATTATCGGTAGTAAAATCCATAACAGCATTGGAAGAGGAGTATTTGAACTGGGTTTAATCCCAATGCGGTAAGTTGCTGGAATTGTCTGAAAAATGGTCACTTTGCTAGATTCTGTAATAGACCGGTTAGAAAGCACTGTTTTACCTGTGGTAAGCTTGATGTTACCGCTCGTCAGTGTCCTCAATGCCAACCTTGGCCGAAAAAGGAGTATCGGACTTAGACAACTATCATCTCGGAGATATCAAGAGGCCAATAGGGTGAAGCAGTGTTAGATTTTATATTTTTTCGCATGTTCCAATTGAACTGAAGGAGACGGTTCAAAACCGTGAACTCGAGACAAAACCTGAATGACCTGACCAGGAACGTAGACTATGTGAGGATGTGGAGAATTGTTTTGGCCATTTCGAAAATGTCGAACCCATCAAACGGCGACACTATCCAGTCTCGTCTACTTTATTAAAGGAGATATATGTTGATTACAGCAAATGCTGGATGAGGGTGTCGTCGAACCCTGTACGAGCCCTTGGAGTAGCGCGACTGTGATGGTAAAAAAAAGGATGGGCCATGGAGATCCTGTGTCCACTTTTGTCAGCTCAATAAAGTTACTTGGCACGACGCATATCCTTTGCCGTTTGTTGCGAACATTCCGGATCGTTTACGGGGTGCCAGATTCCTAATCAGTTTGGGCATAAGGTCGGTTCGAGGATTCTAGACCGTTGGCAGCGTTTACTGTACCGTCCTGTGGATATATCCTTTTGGATTGCACACAGAGCTCCAGCTGCTTGGCAACGACTAATAGACCGAGTGGCGGGGATAGATTCGGAGCTTGTTGACGATATAATAATCGTTACTCCTACTTTCGACCAACACATTAAGGTTTTGACCAAAGTGTTCGAGCGCTTGAAAGCTGCAAGGCTAATCCTTAATAGGGAAAAGTTTCAATTTTGTCGGAGTGAGCTAAATTACTCTTAGGGTATGTCGTCAATGAATATAGACTAAAAGTCGAACCGGAGAAAATTTCCGACATTTTTTTTATCTCTACACCAACTAAGGTTTCTGAGGTTCGAGCTTTAATAGAAACTGCATCGTGGTACCGTCGGTTTATTCCGATTTTTTCGTCTATAATCCTACCACTTACGGACTTAAAGAAATCTTCAAAATTCTTCTATAATTATGACAAATCCGAATGCCAATATACCTAATTGGAAATGGTCATTAATAATTGATAAATTGAATTGAATTGATAAAATGGGCAGAATTTACTGGTTTACTGTTTAGTTAATTTGTTTAGTAGTAAGAGTCTGTGTAATAATAAAATTTGTCAAGTTATTTTACGGCAGTCGTCGCGCTTAGAGGTTATCGTATATTCTTTCCGAATGCTTTCCCACTCGCTAGCTTTGCGCAAACAAGCTGTACCACAGAATGATTGCACCTTGAAATACTCGTATTGGAGAATTCTAGGTAAATGTCATTGCTAAAGAACATCGATTGTGGATCCTAAGAGCGTCTCATGATGACTTTACTAGAATGGAGAAGGAATTGAGCTGTTAGGGCGGATTTTAAAAGCACCTAACTTAGGGTCGTGCTTACAAATAAGTGGTCAAGTGATTATGATGGTACCTACTTTATCACGTAATTTTCCACCAATAATGTTTTTCTATGAAAACGCGTGAAATTGACATGATTGTCGATGGCCAAAAGTGTTTATTTGAACTGGTTAGAAAGCAGCACATATTTTCGCTTGTGTACCTAACCGACAAAGTCTTGAAAAACAATAAAAACGCGAGGTTAAAGTTTGACCAACGCTCGTTAACATCGCGTTCCAAAATTGATTTACTCCGCGGTATTTCTCATCACTTTGTCACGTGACGATTTGAAAAATTGCCAGGCAACTTCGAAAACTTTAATGGATTATTACATTTACGTCTGTTTATTTTATTTTTCTTCACGTCCGAGCTTATTGTTAAAAACTGGCGGTTATTGTCTAACTGAAAAGAAGATAACTTACGACCTGCATAAAATTAATAGCAATGAACGTTTTATGAATCATAAAATATGTGTGTTACATGTATTGCATGCGGTTACAACTAAATATTTTATTGTTGTTGTGAACTTAAGTGAATTTGTTCGAATTTCTCGCCGTGACAGTCATTACAACTTTCATCTGTCTGTCTATGCTGAAGTTGTCCAAAGAAAACGTGCGGCTAAAAAACATGTATCGGCTTTATTATATACAATATAAAGTAATATTTATTACATAGGGCGGATATAAGATATCCGCTGACGTATTTACAATCACATAAGCTTGATATGTATGTATCTGAATTACTTTAATTACATTTTTTCCTAAACAGAAACGGTCTATTTACAATTGCATGTCTTCGTGAGCGTAGGAAAATATTTTTGGTTTCGTTTACCAATTTGGTTTTGAGAGGGGAAAGTAATCAGTTCAGTAAGGCCTCCAAACGCTCGAGGGGTCGGTAACGGATTGCACTTCGCCGCGTTCGGCTTCTTCAATTTGCCCTTGGCCAGGGACTTGGGTCGCCATCTGCTGATTCGTTGGTACGTCCGAATTTGCCGAAGCCGGTTCCAAATCCATGCTGCTTCTGGTCGGCATCAAGCTTAGGGAATCCGTGTTGATGTACTCCAATTTTTCGCCGTTCCCGTGGAGGTGCAGATGGATTTGGTTTTGGTTGACGGTTGAGTAAAGGTGAGGGTAAAGGACCATCGTTGGGGTGCCCGAATTTATGTAGGGTTGTTGATTGTTGTTAGGCGTGTTGTAGTAATTGTAGTTGTTGGGGTAGGTGGGATTCGATCCCCAGTTGTTTGGGTAATAGGTGTTGTTATCGGGATACCTTGGGCTTCCGCACAACATCGGGTCTAGATCGGACGTTCCCGATATTCCGGCCTTTGAGTTGTGAAATACTGAGGGTGAGGCGAGTGAGGTGTTGATGAATTCATGAGATGGAACCTCGGGAAGTACTGCAACAGAGAAAAAGGAAAATTAGTACTATATTCATTCATAAAGCTAAAAGTTTGTCAAAAACCAGACGGTAACATATCTTGAATTTAAATAAAAATCTTCTGACGCATAGACCCAACCGACACAAGTGACCATATAACCCACAGACCCAACTTGACCCACGCATTCCTTCAGACCCCTGATCCAGTTCTTGCTTGCGAACCAGAGTGTGACTACAATCATGGGATACTTTTTGAACTACTTCTGATAACCGATTTGCGGTTAATCTAACATCCAGACACGAAACCATTCGCCAACTCTCCTTTTAGTTTTACTTTTCGTTATTCAGACTCTTTATCAAGCGTTTTTCATTCTTCTTTCTCCCTTTTCCACTTCTTCAACTATTTAGAACTTTCTAAAACACTTTCTGCTATGCTCTCGTTTTGAAATATTTGAACAATTAATCATACACCTACATTTATTATACTTCTATTTTGGCATTTTCCCTGTCCCCTTCACATTTTCTCCGCTCCGCTCTGCTGCTTCTATAATTCTTGAAATTTTCTCGTCTCCACTCTGCCTTTATTCTCTCTCTTTCCAAATTCATTTTCATCGTGGATTCTTCTTTTGTTTCTCATTAGCGATTTTCGAACTGTCCCTCATACTTCTGTTTATCTTTCCGTGTTCTTCATGTTCTTCAACTGTTGGTATAATTTGTTTAACGAATCCTGACTGACAATTTTGTCATCGCACCATTTGATTTTTCTTCTATATCCCTACTGCTTCCATAATTTTTACTAGGGCTCCCCCTCTTGTCACGTTTTTTTTTATTGCCTTTTTTGCTAAACTTTCGCACAAACTTCGCCCATTTTCCATGCGGTTTTCTTAAATCCCTAACGAGGTCGCTCTCCCGTATGCGAGTTTCGAACGTTTAATGAAACCCACGCCATCTTTTTTCCTTCGTTTTATTCTGTAACATATATAGTTGTCTTCATTCAGTCGCCCACTCTTCTTTTTCTTTCTACGTTTATTAGGTATCTTTTAACAATCTGCCCGATTTTTCACCATCCGTATTTCTCCACCCTTCTTTATTGCTTTCCACCTTTGTAATCATGGACATTCTATCGTCTCTAATAGAAATTGTTCAATAGTACAGTCATTAGTTTCCGAGTTAGTTTCTTTACATTAACTCCAACATTGTCTCCACTTAATTTCCCTACTCTTTCTTTCTACGTTTATTACATTCATCTACTTCCCTTTCGCCTTTTCTTCTCGTTTGCGAGCTAGCGAAGTCGCACAATTCTTCTTTTCATCTTTCCACTGTCTCCATCTTCGCATCTCTGTGATTCTTATCATTTTTCTAATGCATTCTTCTTGCCCACTTTGTCTTCATTCTCACTATTCGATCTCTGTTTCATCTGTGCGTTCATTTTCCGCTCACACTGTTCTTTCTTCTGTCTTACTATTCTACTTCTTCGGGTAACCTCATAATTACCACCTGCTTCTCGCCAATCTTGTTTCCGCTTTCTTTTTCGTTCTTCGCCTATTTCTGCATCTCTACCATTCTTATAAACCAATTCTTCTTATCTTCTATTCTCCTATCGTCTTCATCCCAGCTGTCTCTAAATCTTTAAGGAATCCTTCTCGCCAATCTTGTTCCTGCACTTACCGCAATATCCCTCAACTTGGTTTTTAGAACTTACTCCAGATCTTACGACCCTTTTTTTACTTAAATGATGTTCTCCTTCTTCTTCCGTTCTATATGTCACTCTTGAGCTGCCGCAATTGACCCCATCTGCTATACAGGTGGCACTATATCGGCTTACATTCCACATCTATCCTTTTGGGGGATGGGCTGTAAGGGTTGCACATCCTTAAGTAGCCTTCCATTTGATAGTAGTCGATTCCTTGTAAAGTAGCCGTGAGCCTTAAGTGGCCTCAACAATTGCGGCACGATGTCCAGTTCACAAAATGATTGTCTTGAACCCAACGTGATATCTCACAAGAATCCAGTATTTTCAGTAATTCGTTTATTCCTGCCTCACTCCCATTTCTTCTGTTGCCTTTGCCATTTTGGGACTCTTCATCGTCTCCTGTTCTGTCTCCTGATTTTCTAACTTGGTGTCTGCTCACATAATTACACAACCAATCTTCTCCAATTTTGTCTCTACTGTCGCCTCCCCTCTTCATATTTTGCTTTCCCTTTTTAATTTTGTTTCTCGTTTGTGGCTTTTGGACTCGTCAATAAACTTCCCTCCACTCAAATTCTGCTCTCTCTCTTTCTTCCAGACTGCAATCTTTGAACCGTTTCCCCTATTCTTACTCTATTTCCGTTTTTCTGTATTTCGGCTCTCCCATTAATTTCTCGAACTTTGTCTCCACTCCCACCTTTCATCTCCTTCGCCTGTTTATAGATCTTTTTGCTGCTCGATTTTGGGACTCAAGAACAAACTTCGTCCACTATACTTTGTTTCTTTATACGTATAACATCTCCTGCATACAACGTTTTTACCACGAATCATTCCCCCCAACTTTGTCTCAAGCGCTCCCTTCGCTCACCCCTTACTACGTTTTCTTCTTTGTTTCGCCTTTGCGATTTTAGAACCGTTAATCAAACTCGCATCAATAGGATCTTTATTATCAATTTTGTCTCAGGTCACCTTTCTTCACTACTTTCATTTTCCTATGTTATTGGCCTTTTATTTATGCTACTGTTCTACTCTTTTCATTATTTTTCGTTCATTTCCCTCATCTTTGCTGTTGTCTGAATGCTCCATCGATCGGTTCTCGTCACTCTTGTCCCTACATTTTTTTCTTCTTCTATTTCCTTTTCTTCCCATCTTCTGCGTCTGTCATTACAAAAAAGTGCGATATATTTTGCGACTGTTAATTGATTTTTTGAATTTTCTGAATTGGAAATAACCGTATAATGTAAAATACAAATAACTTTTATTTACTCGGATCACCCCGTCACCCTATCGACAGTATCCATCACTTTTCCTTAATCTAATGATCAGGGCCGAGTACGGTAGAAACGTCACTTGATGCGACACCGTTATCTTTTGGCCTTGAACGAAACTTACGTAACTTTGTAGCCATGTACGAAAACATGAACATTTCCAATGTTAAAAATACACTCTTTCTGTAATTTACCCGACCATGTCTATATAAATAAAAATGTGTCACGGTACATTTAGGAGAGGTGAGGCGGCGCATCCACCGAAACCGAGCCTATATGCTCCACCCGGGAGCGGGATATGTGGGCGAGGTGAGGAGGCGCAGCCGTCGAAACAGAGCTTATCTTTCTAGGAAGTTTATGTTCTTTCTTCTGTTGCTCTTCGGTCTATCTTTATGCGTCTCGCCCTCTATTGCACCTAGGCCCATATGATGTACAGATGACACCGTACCGACTTCGCCGTCCAGTTTTCTACTTGACGCTTGGTCCCACCTAACGTAATGAAAGACGAACCATACTAAACACGAGGTCGAGTTCTCGCCAATCCAAATGCGTCGGAATTGATGACACGTAACCATTTGGCCCCTGACCTCGCCCGAGGCATTGAGATGGTTTTAAAGTAAGATGCAACTGAAGGTAAAGAAAACTAGCCATTTTAAAGTAGGGTTCTCTCCGTAATGAACTAGTTAAAAAGACCGCTGGTGCCATCACTAAGAGACGCATGAATAACACAATAGTATGAATATAATGCGAAAACCCCGAAAGTTCTACGACATTCCATTGCAGGATCTCGGTCAATTCATAAAAAGCTTAAAAGACCCCCGAACACAGTTAGTGAAACTATAAGCTCCTCTTTGAGAATAAAAAAACATTCGCTAAACATTCTGGTAGTAGAAATTTGTGCCAGTGTTCATTTTATAATAAATAATAAATATATAATAAATAATAATATACAGGGTGACAATTTGAAAACTTACCACCCCCCATATCTTAGTAAATAAACGAGATATTTAAAAAAATCAAAATCCGTTTCGGTAATTCGGAGGGGGAATCACAATGACATAGTTGGCGACGCACCCCCTCACACCCCCTGCGCCCTAGCCACCCCAACTTTTAAATCTTAAATAGGACTCCCCATGTGTGATACGTCATTGGAAAGCTCTGAAAAAATGCTTTCCAACCATACCAAATAGCATTACATTTAGGTTAGTAATTATCGTGCAAATCAAAAAATAAACATGGAAAATCGTATTTAACTTGAACTTCCAAAGCCGACTCGACAGCAACTCATTTTTGATCGCCAGTTATAATCTATTCTCAAACTCTTGTCGAACCTTTTCAAATGTTGGTTTTGCAATATTTCGACATTCTTGAATTATTCTCTGTCTTAGTTCGTCTATGTTCGCCGGTTGCGTTTTAAATACGACAGATTTCAAATGTATCATATTAGTTTATTTTTTGATTTGCACGATAATTACTAACCTAAATGTAATGCTATTTGGTATGGTTGGAAAGCATTTTTTCAGAGCTTTCCAACGACGTATCACACATGGGGGGTCACTATTTAAGATTTAAAAGTTGGGGTGGCTGGGGCGCAGGGGGTTGGAGGGGGTGCGTCGCCAACTATGTCATTGTGATTCCCCTCCGAATTACCGAAACGGATTTTGATTTTTTTAAATATCTCGTTTATTTACTAAGATATGGGGGGTGGTAAGTTTTCAAATTGTCACCCTGTATATAATAAATAAATAAATATATAATAAATATCTGCGATCAATGCATATACGAACCTTCATTATCCGATCAAAACTGTATTTCGTGTAAAATGACGCGGGAAGTGAGAAAGACCCATAGAATTCAATTCCTCCTGCAGGAAAACCCTACAGACTCGTCAGCTGGAGAAGCCTCCTATAAAGACTGCTTCCCCAAATCCAAACTCGGTTAGTGCGGATCAAAAATCACCTGGTGGAATACGCCACGCGTTTTCAACAGATAAAAAACCACCAACGATTTGACAAACTACCACAAAGCCAAACAGTGTATATCAAACAGTTCGGTTAGACAGAATCTTAGAGGAACTATTGCTGGGACATCTATTCACCTCCGGAAACGGTGGACAGTGAGGTTCCAGAAAGTTCCATTGTAATTTCTTAGATCTGGATGACACTCGGTCGCCAGATGCCACCGAGGACACACTCGTACTGCCAAAAAGCAAGGACTGAGATCTAGGAAGGAGGAAAAAAAGGATCAAATGGGATATAAGCTGATTCAATCTTCTGGTCCAACCTGCGAAGAGGAGGACCTACCACATACCCTTCCAACGTTCCGCGATGGAAAGAAGAAGAGAACGTGGTATCTGCAGATACAATACTGAAACTAGTCCAGCCAGTCCGGACACCTAATCAAATCTAATCGAATCTGCTGTAATTATTTGGCGCCCAACGTGGACCCACGATATCTAAAAATGGGTAGGTACGTCCAAATGTGTTACGTGTATGATACACAGTTGACAGTATACAAGAAGGCCATGGTTCACATCCATCGTTGACTTGGCCACAAATTATTGCGATAATTATAAGTTAAGTAGTTTCCCATTAGATGACCGACCCCATCTAAAGTAGGATTGAGATGACCTTAACCAATAGCGATAATAGTCCATTTCTCGCTAATCCGAATTCGAAATAAAGCTCCACATTCCGTAAGAACCAAAAATCACCTGATTTCCGCGAAACAGTCGAATTGTTACTGACGCACCAATCGTAGCATAATCGGAATGCAGCAGTAGCCGATTGACTTTCATAATTGTTAACCCCAACGAAGAGATTAATTGCATACACTTAACCTCAAAATTATCGATGTTCATTCTTTTGGTTTTGCATAGTTTATTGTTGCGTTATAGCACGAAATTCTTGCGGTTACGTCGCGATATCAAATTTAGGTGTTACGCATAATACATACCGGTGGGTAGGTGTAACGTGGAGGTATGGCTCGGATCCTGATGGGGCTCGTAGTAACCGCTCGGCTGTGGGGGGCTGTACGGCGTATAGGGCGCCGAGTACTCCGGCCAGGGCGCCGGACAGTGCGAGGGGGTGGGTCCGTTTAATGCAGTCGAATCTGTAACGAGCAGGACATCAAATTAATTATAAATGGCATTGACAGGCGATTTGTTTTTGATCACTTAACCGCATGCACGCGTGATGCAGCGAAACTTCGATTTAAACTTTCTTCGTTTTCTAGTCTCACGCTCGCCTATTTCGGGTTTAGGAATAAAAAAGAACAGTTATTTTCTATATTATTTAAATATTTATGGCAAAACCGCAATATGGATTTGCCCCTCTATTGTGTTAACATGCACGGCACACGGAGCAATTCGAATGAGTTATTGTATGTAAATGATTTAATATGAAAACAAATCGGTTGTCATTGATATTGACAAGCTCGCTTTCAAAGAGCCTTAATAACAATATTATGTGGACGACTAGACGTTTTATTTGGTCAAGAATAACTGTACACCTGAAATTACTCCTTTTCTCTGAAATACGAAATTGCCTAGACGCGTACAACTATTTTTATGGACATTTCAAATTTCCGCACCTTTCTTCTGGATAGTCCTTGGACAGTTACTCATCAAGATAGTAAAATTTCGTTGGGGGAAATTCCGAATTGCTGTTCGCTCGTGACATAACAATTACCATTTCGATGTTTTGATTTGAATATTATTTTTGTCGCCGGACCGAGTGAATAGGTTTTCAAATGGACCTTCACTTTCAGCGCTTCGATTCGTTCGCTAACTACATGTGTTAATTGCCCACTGTGTATTGGTTTTGATAGCATAATAATTCCCCTTTTGCGGCGGATTGATTTAAAATTCGTTGTAGGTCAACAAGTATCATGTTTTCCACTGTGAAAATTTTCATTTTAATTTATTTAACTGTCGGCATTTGCTGATCGATGGCCGGCTTGCCAATATTCCTTCTATAATCTTGCTAAATAAGATAGGGAAATTTTCACAGAACGCCACTCTTTAGTTGAAGGACACAGAGTTTTGTAACAGTTTTATTTTCTCAAGTAGGTACATATTAATTATTATTGGTTGGGTATCACTGTAATTTTTGCTTGAGGATATGGCATCTGATGGTTCAGTTTAACGAGCTCCGATTGGTGCATCATTTTTAATGCGCAGGTTTCATTTTCTTTTCCTTGAGACTTCACTTAACAATAATTGGTAACGTTTTTAGCAGTCGTCGTACACATTTTTGAAAAATTCAATGACAGTCACATTGCAAAATTTCTAAAGTTTTGGATCGGGATACATTTTTCCTAGAAGTGGAGGCTATAAGTTGGATTCATAGTAGATGCATACGTAAGTACGGTCATTTGGTAAGTTACAAAGGTTTCAATGCCCTACGAACGAATAAGTGTTAAGTTAACGCGGTTACTAAGTGTGTCACTAAAGAGGGGAATGGTGTGAGAAATGTATCAACGAAAGAATGACTCAGGTTTACGGTAAAATATTGGTCCACAAAAAGTGGATTCCTCAATCATACGGCAAAAGTAACATATTATTTCCGTAAAATCGAGGTGGCTGAAGCTATCTCCCATTACAAGGGCAACAATTTTGCCTCCTACGGTAGAATATACCACAACGTTGAGATACAAAAAGCAAGACACGTGTGAACTGAAGTGTGAGGAACAGAAAATGTGTAAGATATAGCAAAACAATAGCACAAAGTGAGCACTAAACTAAGGTACGATAATTTACCTTTGTCTTAACAAAATTGAGGCAAAGTGTTCAATTTTACAACACTCAATACACTATTCTACAAGGGTAGATTGTAACGAAGCACCTATCTTCCACCTTAAAGGTATGAGTTGAGTATGATGTATGACTACACCGTATATTGGTGGAGTCGACCAGCTCTGCTGAACACCCGGTATCTTGAAGCGTTTTAAGTTGGGCGCTTCGTGACTAAAAGTGTATTGCCGAAAGTAATTGAGTTGGTTCTAGGAGTTGAAGATAGAAGCTAAAATTTAATTTCTAGAGTTCTTTCAGCCGCCGCCGCTACCATAAATAATCCGCCGTTTACTATACCGTTCCCGTTCAATTATTTTTGTTGTTTATTTCAGTTGTGTCATTTAGAAGATGTCGGCAAATTAACGTTTTAGAATTTCGGCTCCGTTAAGCTTTTGTTTCTTATGTTAATTTAAAATAAGCATTAAAAACTGCAAGGCTGTGCAGATTAACGCCGTTATCAGGTTAATAAGCGACCTATATGCCGACCCGAGGAATTGCAATTAACAATGAGCCATAATCGAGGCCATAATGTACTACCGAATTTAGAAATTTCAATCCGGTAAATTAAGTAAGTGAAATTAACAGTAGCAAACTATAGTCCAGAAAATAGAGACTAAAAATGGACCATTTCCTGCAAAACGAGAAGTAGTTCCAATTTTTTTTTGCATGTCGTGAAAGAATATCTGGTGGTTAAGAATCCAAGTTTTCGACCTCCCACCCCTTGTGCTTCCCCCGTACCACCCTTAAAACCAAACAAATTTGGTTGGTTTTTTAGTTTTTCAATCATATCTTTTTATAGGTTCATTTTACAAAAAAATATTGTTATCAGAAATTGTAGACTATACAATTCTACACAACTTTTATGCACACTTTTGAGAAATGTTTATTAAAAACGATATCGAGCTACAGAGTTGGTTATATTTTTAAGAATTCTGAAATTTCTATGTAGATGTTTTAACCAAATTTTATATTTTATCTCTATAATTAAGAGTTTTATGAGAAAATATCTTGAACTTATCGTGGTATAAATCCCCCTACGCTGCACCCTTACCAAAGGGGATGCATAATAATTCAACTTTCAACCCTTGCTAGTGGGGATATTTGAATCACTGTGAGATTGTAGGGCTTTCTAATATACCTACGTTTGAAACAAAAAAATTATCTCACTTCACCCCTTGAAGAGGAATAGAAAACATATGTAATGTAAGCGTTGTACTCTCTGACTAACTTCACAATCGCCACAAGAGCGTTTAAATATCTATTCCTACCGCGCGAAGGGAGGGGGGGGGGGTGAAACTGAACTGAAGTGAGACAATTTTTTTAATTTCAAAAGTATATTAGAAAGCGCTACAATCTCACAGTGATTCAAATATCCTCACTAGCAAGGATTGCAAGTTTCATTATTATGCATCCTCTTTGGTAAGGGTGCAGAGTAGAGGGATTTATACCACAAACATTTCACAACAAAGTAGCGTATATCAAAGCTATGTAGAATTTTATGGTCTACAATTTCTGATAACAATATTTTTTTCTAAAGCGAACCAAGAGACATGATTGAAAAACTAAGAAACCAACCAAATTTCAGGGGTTTTGGGGGTGGTACTGGGGAAGCACAAGGGGTGGGAGGTCGAAAACTTAGATGCTTAACCACCAGATGACTGTCTATGAAATGCAAAAGAATTTGGAACTACTTCTCATTTTGCAAGTAAAAACCCCTCTATTCCCTGCACTACTAAATGTGTTGCAGTAAACGTCATTCCACACAGATTTCCAGGACGTTAGCAGGCCGCACAATTAATTAAAGAAGTAATTTTTGGGCGTACTTATCCGAATACGCTGTCGGCTGGAAAAACCGTCGATCCCTGCGTGAAATAGCAGAATTTTATAAAAGGTAAAGGCGTTGTTTAGAGGTGATCTTTTTCCTTTTGGCCACTATAGCTTTTGTTTTTTTGCCGCACCGTTTAATTGGAAGATAAGCTTCTTGTTACTTTCCGTTTCATTAATTATTAAGGGGAGGGGGGATTGTTTCCCTTTTCCTGCATTTGCTTTCCCGTAGCACTCACCAGTGGCTGGCCGCCGCTTGCCCTTTAGAGTTCCTGAAGCTGCCGTTTACTCCGTTTGGATTTGCCCGAGGCTTACGAAACATATGCACACAATGTGTGTAGGATATGGTAACAAAACGAGCACAAGAATTAGGTATGATAACAACTATATCCTGTATATAGACCTGAAATGCACAAACTCTGTCACAGGGAGTACCATTCTAAAAAGGCGAGTAACTCTAAAACAATTGGAACATAAAATGTGTAGAATATGGCAAAAATCGCACAAAATGAGCCCAAAACTACGATAATTTCCAACATCGACTATATAGGCATAGCATACCGTAAGAGATATGACGTGGTTGCCAATTTTGGAACCCAATCTAACATTACCCCGAAAATAAAGGAATTCCGAAAAATTCCTCTTTCTCACTCACACTTCCTCCTTCATTCCTCCTCCCTAGCTCTTACTTCTTCTTTACTCTTCATTCTTCACTCTTCCTTCTTCACTATTCACTTTTCACTCTTCATTTGTAGCTCTTCACTTTTCGCTCTTCACTTTTCATTCTTCACTTTTCACTCTTTGCTTTTTACTCTTCGCGTTTCACTCTTCACTCTTCACTTTTCACATTTCACTCTTCACTTTTCACTCTTCACTTTTCACTGGTTCTGTAAAACAGGGGCCTATTTCATAAAGCAACTTTGCATACTTTTCACTTTGCATTTTTCTGATAATATTTGGGTCCGTAAAGACTATTGTGACACGTGATAACACTGATAACAATCAAAATATGTAAAGTAGAGATGAATAACACATGAAATGCTACGTTGACTAAAATATTTTATGAAATACCTAGATAATAATCTTTGCACTTAAGTGAAAAGTTGCAAAGTTGCTGTATGAAATAGGCCCCAGGACCAATCTATCCTATTAAATCCCTCCGCTTCAATGAATTAACAAATATGAATGCAGGCACGTAGTCGGGCTGAGGTAGCGCCCACTCTGAGTTAACAGATAAAAAAGGGGGCTTTCCATTCGAAAAAAAAATGAAATGTGATTCTTTCAAGTTTTTGGTTTCGTGCACATCTCAGCTATTTTTTGTGAAATTTTTGATATCACCAATAGAATCAATCTAGCCAAGATACAGAGCGAAAACAAAGTTTGATTTTTTGGGATATCTTACTACCCATTTGGGATAAAAAAGATAAAAACTTCCTGTTTTAGATATTTTTACGTAGAATCCAGTGGCGTAGTGAAAACAAAAATTTGGACCACC